CGCCGCCCCGCCCCTGGCAGCAGCACTCGCCCCGCCTTCCCATCCGGACCATGACGTCAACGGGGTAGGACGTAAAGTGGAACGCGGAGTCCACGTTTCCTAGGAAACGGAGATGGGGGTGGAGAAGAGTCTTCCTCTGCTCTTGCGTCATTACGCCAAGGACAGCGCTTCCCCGGTTTTGGGAGAAGGACTTGGCCAATCCGAGAGAAGGGTAAGGTATGTAAAATTTGTTGAGCTCTGTGTACTGTTATTCCCACTGGCCTTACAAGACTGTGTATTTTGTAGATGAGGAAACTGAGTCAGAATAAATATTTGCTGAACCTCCTCGAGGTCACACGGCGCTGAAATGGTATCGAGCCAACTCGCTCAGACCACACTCGGCCGCAGTCTCCGGCCCCGGATCCCTCTCTATCCGGGCCAACTTTTGTTCCCTTCCTTCCTGGTACCACGGGAGTGTTGACGAAGGGCCCAAACGCCGGGCCGCTTCTTGGAGTGATGCCGCAGTAAGAGCAAGGGGCCAGCAGCCAGTATAGCGAACAGAAATCTGCACACAAGTTCCGGAGCAGGACACCGTCGTGCGCACGCGCAGGCGCCTGTGGGCGGGGCCTCAGACTCAGGTCCCGCCCAACCTCGCGCGCTTCCTCTTCCGACGGGAGGCGGGGCCGTTGCGCCCGCGGGAAACCCGGGGCAGCTGTGTTCCGCTAGTCGCCGCCGACCGAATGGCAGGTGTGGGGAAGCTGGCCCTACGGCCCTGGATTCGACAGCTGATTCTGGGATCAGAGGCACTCTCAAGTCCACGGTCCGTGCAGCTGCTGGAGGTGAGTCCCTACTCAGGGCTCGGAGACCGGGGCGGAGGCCTAGGGTGGTGGGATTGAAACCGGTCTGCGCCGTCAGGTACTGGAGGAGGCCGAGGCCCCGGGCCCATCCCACGCCTCCTACTCGTCGGACGTCGGGGCCACGCTGCTTTTGTCTGACGGGACCCACAGTATCCGTTGCCTGTTGATGCGGGAGACCCTGGACACCTTGAACTGGTGAGAGGCGCCGCGGGGCTTCTGGGAGTGAGCGAGGTTGAAGGCTGAGGTGGGCGGGCCCTAGAGGATAGGGGGCGGGACTTGTGTTCGGCGGGCTGGGCAGTGAGGGTCGTTCTTATCGTAGGGAGGAGAAGGAGTTCGGCTTCCGTGGGCTAGAGGGCCGGCTGCTGCTGCTGCGGGACTGCAGGGTCCGCGTCCAGGTCGCTGAGGGCGGCGCGGTGAGTGGTGAGGCTGGCTTGGGCGGGTTATTGGGCCTGGTTCTTCGTGACAACTCCTGAGACCCGCCCCTGAACTCATTCCTCCAGCCCGCAGAGTTCTATCTCCAGGTGGACCGCTTCAGCCTACTGCCCATAGAACAGCTCCCGGTACTGGTGACTGATTGGTAAGTGATGCCTCCACCCTCCAATAACTCTCCCCACCCAGGCCTGGCTGGCGTTGGCATAGGCTTTTTGGGTGGCAGGCCTTGACCCCTTAACATGTCTGCCTGCCATTCTCCTCTTTTTCTCAGCAACCAAGATGTGGATGTTCAGAAAAAGCTTTATGACTGCCTTGAGTGAGTCTGGGGTTGGGCTCTGGGGCCAAATGTGGTCCCATGAGGGGAGGGCAGATCTGGGTAGACAAGCCTCAGGATGGTTCCTGAGGCCTCTCTACTCTGTTCCTATAGAGAACACCTTTCAGAGGCTACACCTCCCAGAGCAGGTATTGTAAGGGTTGACCAGTGACCCTAACTCCCTGTAGACTGACCTCTTCTGCCTCAACCCCTTGCTTCCGCAATAATCCCCCCTCCCCACCTGCCCTTCTCTTTCCCCTTTTTGAACCTTGACCCATTTCCCCTTGTCTCCTGTCTCTAGGTCTATCACTGTCCCAGCTTCTGGATGAAGTATATGAGGACCAAGAGCATCGGGAGGCACTAGTGTGCCTGGCTGAGAGCTGCCTGATGCTGGCAGGCCCTGGCACAGCACCACCCCTCACCCACTGGGCTACCTCATGCTGCAGGGCCACGGTCAGTCTGGGGCTTTCCTTGGGAGATGTGAGGGTGAAGAGCTGGGCAAGGGCCATGCTGAGAGTTCATATCCCACAGGGAGAAGATGTGTACACTGTCCCCAGCTTATTGCTTCACATCTCTGAGAATGACCAGCTAATTCTGAACTCTCTGGGCCCCGGTCAGAGGGCACAGGGTAAGGGGGACTGAAGAGGTCAAGAGGAGGGGGTACCTGGGGCTCAAAGTCCACAGTGCTGATAAACCCTCCCTGAACCTCCAGGCCCTGAGCTGCCCCCACCAGACCCAGCTGTGCAAGACTTTTCTCTGACCCTGATGTCTTCTTCCTCACCTAGTTCCTCAGGTGAGGCGGTGCTCAGGTCACACAAGCACTCACTGTAGTCTGTCAATCAGATCCCTGGGCCGTGCAGGATGGTGTGACAGGGTGATTGGTTGGGGGTGGAGAGTGAACACAGTCCCTGGGAGTCCTTCCTGAGCTCATAGGCCATTCAGCTGGTCTGAGCTGAGAGCTCTGTGCCCACCACAGTGAATCCTCTCCTCCCCAGGAACCCCTGCCTTACCCAGCCATGGGCTATCAGAGGAAAGTGGGGCCAGCATCAGCTTTCTGCCTGCTCTGCCCTTGGCTGGTCCAGATTCAGTACAGAAGGACAGCTTCCAGCCCCAACCAGCCCCTGGTTCTCTGCCCCCCAGCTCTCCACACCCCAGCGGTACACCCAACTCCCCACTCCGGAACTGTACTCCCAGTCTCCTGCCTCATGGCCATATCCCCAATCCACACCAAGCCCGTGTGACCAGGCCTCAGAAACCTGCCCTGGAGTTCAAAGAGCTAGCATTAATCCCCAAGAACCAGCAACTTTCTCCAAGGACGAGAACTACCAAGAGAGTCCAGGAGGCCTGTCCTGTCTGGGTGAGCATGGTCTCTACAACTGGAGGGGAGAATGGGAAAGGCTTTGGGTAGAGCCGGGACAGGGCAGGAATAGCCTTGGATGGAGTTAGGGGTCCTTGTTAGTCCTTCCCCAGATACCATACCCCTTTTTCAGGACCCACCAAAGAAGCATCGTGATGGTTCTGCCTTCCAATATGAGTATGAGCCACCCTGTACCTCTCTCTGTGCCCAGGTCCAAGCTGCCAGGTGAGTGCCAGACTGCCTCACCTCTTTGGTCACCAGTCCCAGGCTACATTGACCTGCAGCCATATCTCTTCTCAGGCTCCCTCCCCAACTCATGGCCTGGGCCTTGCATTTTCTGATGGAGCCGCAGTTGGAGTCTGAGCTCACTCAGGTGTGAGAGGACATGCAGGCACATTGAAGGATATGCATACACAGGTCCGTGCCTGGGGGTGGACAAATGTTCCACACTCTGCTTCCTTTGAGTTTTTTAATAAAATAATCTCATGCGGCAGGAGAGAAGAGGATCAGGGGTTGGGGCCGCCGCCTCTTTGGTCTGTGGCTGGGGAGGGTGGGCTCTGCTCAGGACTGGGGGGCTCTGTGGGCTGTGGGGGTAGAGGCTCGGTTCCAAGACCAGATCCTGTGAAAGGACAGGGAAGAGAGAAAGAAGGGTCAGGGCTGGGCCAAGCATTTCTGCCACCCTCTCAACTGGCCCTGACCCTGTCTTACCTAGGCTTGGGGATGGGGGTGCCTCAAGCTTCGGCCTGCGTTTCAGGACGGGGGAGCGCTGCAGCCGCAGGGGCCGTTCTAAAGAACACAGAAAGGCTTGGGATAGGTTGCTAGGGGCTTACTGTCTGTCCATCCCCAACCCCCTTCCCCACTTCTAGTGTACACATGCGTGTGTGCACACACACTGCTGCCTTCGGAGCATCCCCCATCCCCTGCATCCTTGCATGCCTGGTAGAGGTTGTACTTCGGGAAGCAGAGCCAGGCTAGAAGGAAGGGCTTGTTGTCAAACCCTTGCACCTGGCCTCTGGCTTCCCGGTTTCTTGAGCCCTCATACCACTGGTGGTCTCCTCCAGGGAACAAAGCCATTAAGGGAGCCCCAGAAGCCCACCCTCTCCCATCCTCCTGCATTCAAGCACACATGGAGGTGTCTCCCCTCACCAGCAGGGGCCTGGAGCTGGTCCTCATGCACAGACACGGCTCGCCGCCCTGCCGAGAGAGGCCGCGGCCTCAGCTGACCATCTGGGGGAGGCCAGGGTATCAGGGAATGGTCCCAACAGCTGTGCCCGCTCCAGCCCTTGCCTCCCACCTTCAGGGTCCCAAGAGGAGCTGAGTTCCCAGCAGGGACTCCTCCAGTCCCCAGTCCAGGACTGGGGTGGAAAGTCAGATGCCTGCCTACCTTCATTCCTGGGGCCCAAGTAAGGATCCTCTGGGAGGCCCAGGCTGTCTGGGGAGGGGCTGGCTCTGCGGGGACTTGGGCTTTGACAAGGAGTAGGGGGGCCTGGACCATCCTGTTGGCCCCAACCACGGCCCCTGAGCTCTGCATTCAACTGCTGCCCCAGTGTCTTCCAGGTGGCAGACTCAGGCCCTTGGCTTCCTGGGCCAGGTCTGCAGGAGGGATCTGCAGGGAGAAGGGTGTCAGCTAAGACCTGGGCCAGGCCTTGGAGATGGGTCTGGGCGATGGTCTGACTCCCCTCTCCTGCCTGTCCCTGTACCTCCCCAACACACAATGTGGCCCTCACTCACCAGCAGACACAGAGTGGGTGCGGGACTTGATCGAGATGGGAGGGGCCTCTGTGGAACTGTCCATAATGTCACCTGCAAGGCAGGACTGGGAGCTCAGGCAGCAGACCTTGGAGGTGAGGGGAAGAAAAACCTGTCCTCTCCCCTTCCTCCCCCAGGAGAGCAAGTGCCTTAGGGACTATCTGTAAGGACACCTCTTTCCCCCCAAATGTACTGCTCTACCCCAAGGTCCTACTTACCATCCGAGCCAGCTTTCTTAATCTCGCCATCTTTGCTCTGTAAGAAACAGGGCAGCCACATTCCGGTCCTGCCCCCTTACCACCACACACACCCCTAGCTTTGTCCTTTTGTTCATTCTTGCTCTTATAATCCAGTCACAGAATCCCCATCTTGGGCTAGGCAAGAACATGGCACACCTAGTTCCAACCCTCTTGGAACTTAGTCTAGGATGGTGGACAGTCGACACAGTAACATCCATACGCATGCACATTCATAGACACATAAATAATGGGACCGCCTTAATCCTGTGATGTACTTCCCACACTCTAATATTTCTAAATTCAGGTCAAGTTCCACTTCACGTGTTCCTGAAAAATCATTACATGGAGGGTATGTAGGGCTGTGATTCTTATTAGCAACTATGGTCAGAGAGTGACTTTAGGGTGGCCATGGAAGAGAGTCAGGGAAGGCCCACAGGGAACTGCAGGGGTGGCTGAAGAGGAACCTGGTCTAACCCATGATGCGGGCCTGGTAGTGAAGCAGGGAGGAGATCCCAACCCAGGAGCACATGTGCAGGCTCTGATTTGCATCCAAAGGAGGAGAGCAGTGAGGTTTAAGGTGACCAAGGATGAGACCCCATGGGGCCTTGAAGCAGTGTCTTGAGAGGAAGCCCCTTGAGGACTTGTCATTTCAAGTACAGGTGACAAGGTCAGATTTCTGCTAGACCTGCAGAGAAGGGATTCTCCCCGGTCCAAGAAGGAGACACCATTGGCCTGGGGCTGGGCAGAAGCCAAGAGGGAGGAAAGGTAGACTCTGACAACTGTTCTGAGGGAGAGGGAGTGGAACTGACAATTAGACCTATCCATGTGTCATGAGTCTCCTCCTGGTCACATATGTCACACACAGTCTGCCGCATGCCACCTTCCCCCCCCACTTCATGCTCATGCCCTCCCACCCCCCGACTCACTTGTTTCCTCTTGCCTTCAGCACCCCCACTGCCTCGGCTTACGCCTATCCTCTGCAGCATCACTTGTACCCGCTGTTCAAAGGATGGAGCCAGCTCTGTGTCTCCCCGCTCCAGGGGCCGCCGCTAGGGAAAGAAATGCCCAAGTCAGGAGACAGCCCACTGCCCTGGGTTCCAGAAGAGCTCTCACCTCCTGCCACTCAGCCTCACCTTGTCAGGTCTGGCACCCAGTGTTGCTTCCTCCTCCTCAGCAGGCAACAGTATCATCGAATAGGCCTTACTATCCCGTGTGTAGCGAGGCCGGTTCCTACGTGAAGGGTCAGGGCTGCTGGTGCCCCCCTCAGCCCCACCAGGCTCCTCACCACGGCTGGGACGGGTTGGTGGCCGTAGTAGATCACCAAGTGTGGTTTTTCGGGTTCGGGGAGCTGCCCCAGGGCTGGTCTCTAGATCAGGCCGTGGACCCCGTGTTGAACGAGGTTTCTTGAAGGCAAAGAGGGTGCCCAGCTTCTTTCGCAGTGTACGGGGGACAGGAGCAGCGCCCCCCTCGGTGGCCGGGTCCTCCTCGGGGGCCCAGCTGTGGGGACAACCAGCAGTAAGTGAGAGAGCCCATGGGGCATCCCACCCTCTCCCACCCCCAGCAACTGCCCCTCACTCACAGGCGATCCTGCTGGATCAGCCTTTTGGAGAAGAATTCCTCCACGCCCTCGTCCACGCGGGCACTGAGCCCATTCCCTTCCTGCGGCAAGGCTGGGGGAACCTGGGGGATACCATGGGGTCAGGGGTCAGGGCTGAGTGCAACTATGGCTTCACCCTCCTCCCCTGTCCAGCAGCCTGGCCTAGGTAACTCCAGGATCCTGGAGCTGGGGTGACCCTAGGGAGCTGCTGATATGACCCCCCCCACTACCACCAACTGGCTGCTGGGCAGAGGTGCCAGATTTCACACACTCCTTCACCAGCTGCTGGCTCTGGTACACACACTCGTCCACACCCGTTCTTGTCCCACAGAGTATCCTACACTCCCTGAACCAGCAGGTCACCAACAAGGCTAGCCCCCACGAGCTCCCAGGGTCACACGTTCCCACATGCCACCCCTTCTGCTCCACACAATTCCCTGCAGTACCCCCGCCCCACCCCCACTCCACCCGGCCTGCTGCCGGCTCAGTGGCGCCGGCTGCTGCGTCAGACCCTCTGGGGGGCCTCAAGCCGGCTCCTCCCCCCACTTTCCACCAGTGCCCATTGCCCCCGCTGGTACCCAGCCCACACATACATCTCCCCTCCCCTACCACTGCCAGACGTGCAGGAGACGCAGGATTGGCCCGGCATCTTTCAGTAACCCAAGAGGAGGGAGGGCAAGACGGACACCCTCTCTCGCACGTCCACCGATGCAGCGGGACGCCCCGAGGTGTAGTCGTACACCCAGGGACACTCCGAACGGAACCCGCACACCCATAGCTCCGCATGGGCATGGCCTGGGGTGGGGGTTAGCCAGGAAGAAACCAGGATGTGACCGCGGTCGCACAACCAGGTGGCCTTGGGGCCCCCACAACCCACCTCCTTGACCGCCATCGCTCTAGAGGAGGGACCGGGCCACCTACGACCCCCAGTTCCTTGAGCTCCGGAGTAGGGGGAGGGCACTCACCTGGGGGCCCCCCGGCGGCGGGCGGTGATGGTGCTGGCGGCGCGGCCGCGGCCGGGCCCGGGT